TGGACTTCTGATATCCAATATTCAAGACAAAATAAAAATTTTAAAACTGGCACACGAATGACGTGCCAGAATGCTTTCGAGTGCCATTTGTAATGAAGCAACTCGATGAACAGGGCTAAACATACCCCACAGGAGAATAATACTACCGGTGTAGACTGGAATAACCAGACGTCAATGCAAATCATTTTATATACATTCATAATACATTATTATATGCGTTCCGACCAATTTGCGCCCATGTCCAGGTGCAAAATAATAGCGATTTAGCTGCTTTAAAACAAATTATGGACAGAAATCAAATTTGAAAAAAAATAAAACAAATGGGACCCCAAAATATTTGAGACAAAAAAAAACAAATCAACATAGACAAAAAACAATGGCTAAAGCTTGCGCTGCCGAATAAAATACGAATGAGGGGCGAAAGTTTTTTTAGTCTTCCTCTCCCGTTTCCTACCTTTTGCATGGCGAGTTTTGTTGGCTTTTTGGTGTAAAATCGAAGAAAGGGGTTTGGAAATACATTTTCCGCAAGGTTTTGGTGAATATTCTTGATTTTGAGGCGGAAGGCTACGGGAGTTGAGAGGTTGGTTACGTTGAAATGTAGTGCGGAAAATTGCATGTTTACTTGCACTTTACTTCAAGTTTGTGCATATCAAGATTTCCATGGTGAAGCTCATACGTGCTTTTAAGCAAGAGGTTTCCACATGTTGCTCCATCTGTGGTAGAAAGCATTCTACCCAACGAAAATTTTGGAAAAATTTAAAGTCTGCCTAAGAGACGAGAATTAACATGTTTAAAAACTCAATAAGAAAATCATTAGTGATCTGTGGCCAGATGTAGGGTACCGGAATCTGCCGAGGTTTGGCGAGTGGATTTTCTTCTTGATAATTAAAACACCCGATTACCTAGTCGGTGACCTTGTTATTTTCAAATTTTGAAAACCCATCAACACAATGATAGACTACTGTCCGCGTACAAGTTATATTTATAGCACAGTTTTCATGAGTTAACAGATTTAATCACAGAGGCCGTAGGCCGAGGTGTTAAACCTGTTAACGAATAAAGCGTGCTATAAATGACTTGTAACATTGACACATGCTCAACATGCTCATTGTTATTGCACAGAAAACCCACCCACTTCTCTATATGATTTCTACTAAAACTGGCGTAAATAAGGAAAAGTGTGCAATATCATTGAAAATGTCTAGTTATTGCGCGGTTGAGCTCCAGCCAGTCTACTAGAGGAAAAACAATCTGCTTATGCAACTAAAAGAACGAAAGAAGATTTCCCATCCATGTTACAATAGTATTTAATTAATGAGCATGCCATAAATTAATCATTGTCGTTGGAAGAATTAGTATAGGAAACAATAAATGGGAAGATAAGTACTGTTCAAACTTTTCCAGATTGACTGTCGATTCGTTTATCTAAACTTGGCAAATAAAATTTTACTTCAGTTATCTCCGATCCAATTTTAACTGCCTTCCCTTAAAATATCGACGTTAATTTTCCGTAATACATTCAACATGCACCATACTCCATGATAGTATAGGATTCCAGTCAGCAAAAAAAAATAATCTTTTGATACCTTTTCGGTTATTATAGTAACCACTTTACAACTAAATTGCAGTAAAAATAAAGTCATACATTTTGACAGTATTCCGTCATATGATTCCATCTTTCCAATGTCGGAAAACAAACATTAAACTTTTGCGTCCTTAGATAAAGCCAAAATTGGATTATAATTATAATCTATTTTGTATTCCTGCATCGACAAACTAAGTCAAAATTAACAGAAAACAAAATCAACTTTGCGACTATTAGGCAAATATAGCAACACCGCCACCGCACCCATAGATGCATCGTCTACGTTAAATTTCATATTTATATTCCACCTAACATGGCTGCTCGCCGAAATCCATAGATATTATGCTAGATTTACGTTCGGATATACCGTACAATATAATCGATAATCGACATAAATATGTTAGATACATGTTTGCTTTCTTTATTCATTCCAGAATATAACAAATTGTTTTATGTACACTCACGATTTAAAGAAGATAAGCTGATAGACTTCGGCCAAGGGCATAAATCTGTTTGACTCTTAATTCATTTTAAAATGCTTGTTGTTGGTGCTCGCGGTATTCAAATTTCAACAGATGTCTGCTCGCGCTCAAGATAAAGTATTCAAATTTTAAATCCACTAGTTCTTGACATACAGTGTAAAATATTCAGTTCAAAATAGTGTTTATAAGTTTTAGATTAATGTCAGACATAAATGGTGCTGAAGATCGTGCATAGGAATAATAATAATTGCCAAATATAATAGTCTAATTCATTAAGCTGGTTTTTAAACAAATATGGTTGAGACCTTGGGTCCCGTTCGGTTAAAATAGAGATTTTGCTTCGTGTACTCAAATTATAATTAGTGTAAAAAGTAAATTGAAGTTGGGGTGTCTGTAGCACGAAGTTTCATTATATTTTAATGTCTATTCAAAAATGGCTATTTAAAGCTAATAACAAATCCATAGTTACTGAAACACCCTTGATAACTTTACAATGCCGGGTTTTGCGTGGTAAATTGTGTGATAATATGCTTTATTGATCCTTAACCATCTAATGTGGAACCGATTGATGGCAACTCATACTATATAAAGCACCGCTTCAGCAAATAAGACGTTATCTTGCAGAATATCAAAAACATAAGAGGTAAGTCAAATGTAATATTTACAAATTTCGTTATACTTGGGTATTAAAATTTAATCGTAAAAATAATAACAATTCGACTTGGGTGTTTGAAATAAATATCTGCACATTTTAATTTGGGAACTATTTCTAAGATTCAGGAAGTCTAAACGAAGTAGATGGGGGTTCAAAAATGAAAACACGGTTAAGTACCACTGAGCTTCCAGGAGTGTAATATTTTAAGAGAGACCCATATCCCAAATCTTATCATTATTATTGTTAAATGCAATGTTTAAAGGGGCTGTAAATGTGTTAGGTTTAGGTAAGAATAAAGTATTCAATTTTATTTAAATTTATTTCGAAAGATGAAACGGTTAAATCGCAACATCATCTTTGTCTAAAGACCTAAAATATTCAACGAAATGACATTGTCCTAAATTATTGACCCAAATCAAAGCGATCTATAGTCATTTTTAAAGGGACACAATGATGAAACGGTTAAATCGCAACATCATCTTTGTCTAAAGACCTAAAATATTCAACGAAATGACATTGTCCTAAATTATTAACCCAAATCAAAGCGATCAAGTCATTTTTAAAGGGACACAATGCTGAAACTTCAGAATTGTACCTAACAACGAGGGGGTACTATTGAATAAAAATACATAACTTCCTCGTCTCGTGACACCTATACTGTTTTACCTTATTGACATTTTCAAATTCACTGGCAATCCAAGAAGACCGGTGTTATACGCGCCCCGAAACTCATTAAGCCCCATATTACTTAATGCTCATAGGAAATTCTGATAAAGTACATTGTATATCAAGTAACACAATATTTTTTTTATCTAAACTATATACTACTCAAGATCCAGCTGATCGGAATGTAAGTTATCAATAAATCGATACCTTTCTTATCAAGGAAATACTTGAGTGTATGACGTAGTTAAATTAACTGTGTGTGATTTCCAGTTTTCGGAAAATATCAAATTGCTCCCGGCTTAATCCAATCTACTCAGATTGACGACTTAACATTTGCCCGAAAATTTTCTTTGTCATCCGAATTTTCAGAATGAATCAATCATTAACTAAGACGAGTTTTCCACAAAGCTCCACTTAAGTATTATAGAATTCAAAACGTAAACCGCGCACGATTTCATTTTGCAATTATACAGTTATCTGTGCCCGAAAAACGGAAATACATTGCCCAAAAACTGGACGGTTCACCGAATCTTGGGGAGCTGTGGCTTCCTAGCACCCAGATCACCCCACCCCATCCCACGGCTCCTACGCCCGTGTATATGAACATATGCTTTCATTAATTGGAATTATATAAAGCTCAAACTAATGTTTAGCCCTGTGTCTATTTTAATTAACATGTTCTATACATTGAAAACGGTTATTGATTCTTTAATTGGTGGGGGGGGGGGTCTTTGTCGATACTATTATACATATCATTTCACAACACCTAGTAATCATTAGGTTTTATTGACACAGTATTAAATACTGAACATGGTAAGAGCTATGATAGCAATATCACATTAAAAATGTTTTTCCTTGACTTCTCAAAATATTTATCTAAAGCTCTAATACAAATTGTTTATATAGGAGAATAATTGGTCATTAAAGCTGGAATCGCATTATAAAAATAAATTAAAATATCTTTACATTTAAAACAAATGTACGACATATAACACAGCACGTTGATTCAATTAACCCGGCAAACATGGTCTATTCGGGGGTAAAATAGTTGCAACGACCACATAATGCAGAAATATTACCTTACTTCGCGCTATTGACAGTTATACGCTTCCAAACAATACCTATATGTCGACTTCTAAAGCGCGTAGAATCGCAATATGGTTCAATAGTGCGATAGATACCACAATATTATTAAGGTAATATGTCAATGTATTTTGATAATATGGGATTTGATGAGTCGATTTTGTTGTGGTTTTAGCAAAAATGTGTAACTTCTGTGGCATGGTGCTACGATCGCCTCAAAGTGGGGTAGTAACTGCTGCGGGTAACCCTTTCACAAACCAATGCCGTTTGTCGATGCGATTGTCAAATCAACATTATCACATATACTTTTTCATTTTAATTTGATAATGTCCAGCAGTATTTAAAACATTTTGCACATAACCATTGAGTATTTGTTTATCAAAATCCTGCTTACCATTCATTTATATATTTTAGGTCCTGAAAAGAGAAACAATTAATAATGAGCAGAAACGAGTGTTGCCAGGAAACGGCATCTAATGGTGGTGAGGGTGGTCAACTTATGCCGTTACCTAAACTTGTGCCGTCAATGATGTTGATAACAATAATGATTATTCTGGCTGTAGGGGGCAATTTGCTGGTAATAATATCCTACTTTAAAGACCAGAAACTACACAACGCTCATAATTTATACATTTTTCATCTGGCCATTACAGACTGTCTTCTAGGCCTGATTAGTATGCCATTTTATGCTGCCTATACGGCTCTTTTGTGGAGTTGGCCTTTTGGGAAAGTTTTCTGTAAGATATACATGTTATGTGATTTTACACTGTGTCTTCAATCAGTGTTATTGATTATCATAATTAGCTGGGACAGATTAATTCTCGTCCAATCAGGGGCACAATACTACGTCAAGGAATCTCAAAACGTGGCTCTGGTAAAAGTGACAATCTCATGGACGTTTGCGTTTTTGCTGTATGGCCCAGCTATCATTGGCTATGACTACTGGGTTGGTTATAGTTTGGTGGAAGAAGGTGATTGTGACGTTGAATTCTTTGCAGACTTTGGTTTCACCTTGGCTTCATCGCTAATAGAGTTTGTCGTCCCTTTTACATCTATTGCCTTTATCAACACACTCGTTTACTTACAAATCCGAAAACGACAACGAATAAGGGAGGGTTTAACGATAAAACCGAAACCAGAGCTAAAATCCGTTTCCGACAATTCGGAAAAAGAGACTACCAATAGCACCAACGTTACAACCGTTGCAACGATTTCTGGAAACAATCACCAAATGTGTGCTTCTGATAACAAGAAGAATACCAACTTCAACAAAGAACACAAATCGCACAAGGATCTGAAGGCTGCAAAAGCTTTGTCCATCTTAGTAATAGCCCTGGCGGTATGCTGGATACCGTACACCGTTTCGACAATTGTTATAGCCTTTAGCCCAAACTCGGTCGACGAAGATTTGTACGAAATCCTCAACTGGCTCCTGTGGTTTAAGGCCTCTATCAATCCGTTTCTGTACGCTTTTAAGAGTGACAGATTTCGAGAAAATTTTGTAAAGATTTTACCGTTCTTGAGGTATGCTCTGAAAATAAAAAAACGTGTCTATTGAATGTGATGTTGCGATACTTTGCAATAGTAATATTTTGCACATTATGCACAACATCATAAAATCTATATTTTGAGAATATTCTTACTAAGGTATTATAAATATATCGACTGATCGAAATGCAACTTCAGTATGTCGTGACAAACAATATACATTTAAAATAATTGGGTTTATTCCGAGTAAACCTATTAGAATAATCGCCATGACATCCTCACGAATAATATAAATACGGAAGTATTTGAGACAGATGCAAACCAGGTCAAAGCAGGTCAAATCCTTATATGGTTCTTTGTTTAGCGGCAAGAACATCGACTTATCCATGTTAAACAAATATTTGTATCCAGGCATTGGAATTTCGTGTTATCGTACCTTTACAAGATCAGACTATCTAACATCATCAATGGCAACTTATGAAGTCTTTATGTCTCAAGATATTTACAAGCTACCAAATGTACTGAACCCAATTTTCACAGAAAATTTCGTGTAAACTGATTAAAAGCTGCACACGAGTTCTATAGTGATTTACAAGAACAACCCCAACCTGCTTCTATAACCCATTTCATAGCAAGATATGTGTTGACTTTTCAAAGAAATAACAACTGGTCGGTTTTCTCTGTATCGCCATCAATGCATTGATTGGCACTCGAATCTATAATCACGTTTTTTTTTAGATCAATGTTTATACTATACGATAATAACAATTTGATTCAATTTTTCTTAAATTAAAATTGCGATATAACTTTGTATGTCATGGAAATTTGATATATCTTACAAATTAATGAAAATCGCGATACAAATTAGACAGGTACTAAATTTTATTTTGGTCGCCTACTTCTATACAGTATTTGAACATGATATTAAGTATAGAATGAATAAAAAACAAAGAAATGTACGGACTATTTCTATATTTTCCCCTTTTCCCCTTATCTAGTGACATTCAATTACTTTTTTGAATTATTAGATATCCTCTCACAGGCTCACATAACAACTTTTGGTCTTCGGAGGAATTATTAGCCTTTTAGTGAGCAGAAATTCGCCCGTGTATCTGTTATCACTCGTCACTTCAGTCAGTTATATAGAAAGATAACTCGTGTTTTCCTTTTGCGTTCGTCACTCTTGAAATCTTCACAACGCATCTATCGTAGCAATGATCTTTGTGTTAAAATTATATTTGGATCGTGTTTAACCAGTTTTTATCATATATGTGATAATGACTGACACGAATATTGTCCTTTAATGACACCTCTTGTTGTATACTAAAATGAAATAATACTATCTTAAAGGGACCATCCCGATCTTAACAGAGTCTCAGAAATAAAAGTTCGTGTATGTATAAAATTTAAACTCCAAATTATAGAAGAATGGTGTATTTACCTTGTCTCAAAATTTCAGCTCAAAATATTTAGTTGTTTGAACGTGAACGTCAAAACCGCTTATTCGGACACGTTACCCTTTTAAGATTTCGGGTCATTTTTTTCGTTGGACGACCTGACAATCTATTGGCGTTCCTTTGGAGGCCTATATAGTGCATGACCCACGTGCTGTACTTGATAACGAAAGGTAAATTTCACCTACACGTTATTTTTATAGGGAGGTTCCTGAACGTACAGGGCGAGTGTAATGAGATCTACGTTCAGAGCTGAACTACTGCTGCATGTGTTGTGATCAGAGCTACCCTATCTTATCATGGATCTATTGAAAAGGGAAATTTAATTATTCTGGGAAACCGACCCAGTGATAACAATAACGCACACCTCTTTTCAGGGAAGTAGAACGTTAAACCCCATTTCATTTCATTTCTTTTATTTTCAGGGATACTTTATTTTTTTTATTTTCCACAAAGTACAGATCTTTATCAACTAAATATTATAACTGTTCTTGTGGAATAAATATTTTTGGCGGATCAACTCTAGACTTCCTGACGAAACATGATATTCTCTACCAGGGCATAATGTAAGAAAGGCCCCGGGCCTAATTTTCTACCCTTTTAAAATAAAGTGATTATTATCATTATTATTATTTGCAATTTATTACATCGTCTAATAACTGTAAAGTTTGTCTTAATCGATTAAGACAGTCAGGCACCTATTTTGTAGTTACACTTATTTCAAATATAACGCAAGCAATTCGCTCACATTCATGTGATGTCAAAGATTCGTCCGGTCTATAAAGACAATGAGTCACCTCAAGATTCGATGATATAACTCAATAATAAACAAAAAGTTTTCTCTAAAATAATCAATAAAATCGGGCAATTCTTAAGAGTTATGAATAGCCCAATGGAGCAGTATTTTAGCCGATAAATATTGACGTCTTATGACGTCAACTTCGGCTGAACCCGGATCCACGCCGTCTGTCCGTTCGATTGGAGAAATTTTGGTGGTGGAAAATGCAATGGAGTAATTTTGATAGCTGAAAATGGAAAGATGATAAAGTTACAGTGAATTTACAATGGCGAAAAGTAGAAAGTGAAAAATCATAACAAGATTTTTTGTTTTGTTTTTGATACTAATATAGTTATTTTGTGTTATGTGATATTTACAAGTGATAAATCTCGAAAATGTCCATTTTTACTATATTGACTATGATAATTTTGTAATTTTAACCATGATATTTTCTCTTAATATGACAACGATTCGGCTGCATAATATGACGCCAGTTATATGTAATGTTTTATTTAAGGATTGCCCGCTACACTCATTATAAAGGCAATCTGGTCAGTGTTAGGTTACCCAGAAGGGGTGGGGACGGGGAGACCAGTAGGACATACCTATGTGAAAGGTGCTGTTGGCCGTGGAAGGGGTCGTTGTATTTGAAGCCGAGGTTTGTGGTTGAGACAACGAATAAGCTCCGTGAGTCCATAATTGAATCAACCTATTAAATTACGACCGAGCGAGACTGGTAGTTGGGCCTGCCGTCCTACTGCGAGCCAGCATACAACTTTGCTATGCATATACATGTAGGTGACAAAGTGGGCTGCAGTCAACACTTACTTGTCATGATCTCAGCGGTGCTGAATAATGTTTTCTGTTATTAATACTTGTTCTCTGGATTTGAGTAAGAACTAACCAGAATAAGTCATTAAACACGCATCTCTAAAAGAACAATTGCACCTTTAACCATGGGGACGGAGGCGATGAACTTTCTGTGTGGTCCTTTCATTTTTACTATATATGGGACCAGCCACACACTCACGCCTGGCTCTTCATGAAAGTTTCCTAGGAAACATTTGTCTGCGAAAGGAGATTTCTTTAACCCTACATTTGTTTTTTTAATCTCATTATATAGAATATAAAGCCTTAGGCTACATGGTCACTAAACTTTTAGTGTTCAAGCTCACATGAAGTATAAACATAAAATACACAAGGGCAATTACACATATAAAAGAAATCAATGTTTGGCTTAGTAAAGTGTAATGGGAAATAAAACCTAGTAAAATGTAAACAATGTTCTATTTGATAGCAACGCAAATCATAGAATTACGCCCACACAGATATGTTTCGAAAAAGAAATACACCAGTTTAACCAAAAGGAAAATCTGGATGCTGACCGAATTTGATATATGGGTTATTTATGTATTCAAGAAATATATCATGTTCAGAAGCCCTGAAAATCAACACAAGTCATCTAAATAGGGTTCAGACCAAATTTGAAAAACTTCTATTAAAAGTGTAGTATCAATCGCGGGGAATGAATAATTGGGATGGTAGCACAATATTATGGTGTTGCTTCTAAAAGCAATTTAATGTGTGACCTGCGTTTACAATTTTATTTATATAAAATCATAATGGCAATGATGCAACACAAAAGACTCCTTAATACATATATGCCGAAATGATCCAGTTGTGTATCTAATTTAACCTCCATCTATAATAATGTATATTCAGTTACCTTTCAACAGATATAATATAATGTTATATATTTGTACAAATTGAGCACCCGTATGTTTACAAATAAATAAAAGAGTACAAAATGTGGAAGATTAGGAGAGAGGTGAAAGATTCGAACACAATATATGTATATTGTTCTCAAGTGTTTGATATGTATATAACAGTATGTCGTTGCGATTTGACTTTTCAAGTCAAAAACGCTCAAATTTTTGATAGTGTCCCAGTAGACCATTTTCTGACAAACGTGACTTTTGACTTGTCAAGCTTTCTGTTTAAAGATACATTCCCATAAAAGTATTTACAGGGTAGTTATTTCCAATAAAAATATGGCAAATCTACTATATTATTTTTATTACGGTATATGGAAAGTAAAGACACCCAATCTTACTAGAAAAAATACTGGATTCTCTGAAAAACACCCATGGGGCAAGCACTGAGCAAAAATGTCAGGGTGTCACTGTCTGCTAGTGTGACTTAGGGAGCGGTTATTATTTCTTGATAGAATGGTTAAGCGGTTTTGGGAACATTGAGAGGTTTAAACGTACAACAGACTCCGCAATTACACGGCGGAAAAAAGTTGGCAGAAGATAATTCAAGAATTTACTTAGGCTTCAATATGTATGGTAAATGGACAGTTAGTAACAACAAATACAATTTGATAATGGGTCCTCCAATTTTACATCACAAACGTGGCTTTTAAAAATATAAGTTTTATACCTTGGGGTATTTCCTCCAGAATACAATGTTTTGAGAGGGATTTGATGCATTAATTAATTTGAATATGTGTTTAGTCCAGATATATCATCAAATCACCCAGTATGTACATTGGAAGGCATCTTTAAATTGGCTTTGTGGTATCTTCTAGGTTGTCATTTTTATTAATCAAAAATTGAACATGGGTAAAAAAATTTGAGAACTTGAGGATTAGAGTACTATGACGATATTCAATTGTTCTGTGAGAAAAAAAAGACAATTTATGATTTTGTGAACATCTTTGCAAAGTGCTGTTCATTTCACAACAGCTATACACTGAAAAAATGCAACCTGAGACTAGGCTTATATGAAAGGAACATTCGGATTTTGACCAAAGGATCGGGCCTTCAAGAAATCTGA